AGGAATGATACACGCCGTGGGGTTATAATCTGGAACGGAGGACAGATCGAATCCTAGATAAGAGCCATCCCATCACCAGAATCAATGAACCTTCCTTGAGGTCTCACAAGCTGTCGCTTAACCGTAATCAAGGTAAGTTTTATTCAGGTATACACAAATACTGTTTACAAAGATTATCATACATAGCAGCATATGTGTTAGACAACCTGGGATAACCAAAAAAGTCAGAGTGACTTATTTCCATTGGGATACTTTTATCAAGGTACCAGATCAAGACCATCAAGGACCCCCCGTTTATGGGGCTGTCCTTTACAAAAAGGTAGCGCTAAACCTTTACGGGCCATGCCAGCGGTAACTCAATAACCTTGAATCAAGAGCCCAGCATCAAGGAACCTTCTTGAGGGGATCACAGGGCTGTGCTCATCAGTATCAAGTAAGCTTATTCAGGTATACACAATACAGTAACAAAGATTATCATACATAGCATCATATGTGTATACAACCTCCAGGATAAACCAAAAAAGTCTGACTTATATCCATTGGGTCCTTTATCAAGGTACCCAGGATCAAGCATTAAGACCCCCCCTTGTTGGGGCTGTCCATGACATTATAAATGTAGCGCTAAAACCTGGACGGGGCCCAGTGCCAAAAGTAACTCCAATACCTTGAATCAAGAGCCCCAGGCAACAAGGCCTATCCTTGATGAGTTTCCATAATGCTGAAGTGCTAAAACCCGTATGTGCTAGTTCCTGGGCAATGGTAAATTTATATGGGCAATTTGTAAATGGTGAACAAGTAAAAAGGACAATGTGTAAAACAACAATTTGTAAATAGTAGAATGGACAATTTACAAATGGGCAATGGAGTAGAAATAGCAAATTATAAATGAGAAATGTGTAAATGGTACAAATTCAAATGGGCAATTTATTGTCAATTTTAAGTGGGCAATGAAGAAAATGCAAATTATATATGGGCAATGGGTAATTTGTCAATGGTAAACGAGTAAAATTGGCAAATTATGTAAAGGCAATGTTAAAATAGGCAATTAATATTTGACCAATGAGTAAAATGGTAATTTTAAAATGGCAATGAGTAAAAATGGGCAATGAGTAAAAATGGCAATAAGTAAAAAATGCCAAAAAGTAAAAATAGTAATGAAATAAAAATCTGCAATAAAAAATGAAAATGGGCAATAAAATAAAAATCGCATATTAAAAATGGGCAATAAATCAAAATGGCAATAAATCAAAATTGGCATATAAAGACCAAAATAGGCAAAACAAAATAGACAAATAAATCAATATAGCAATAAATCAAATGGGCAATAAATCAAAGATATGGCAATAAAACAAAATGACATAAATCATAAAGGCCAATAAATCAAAATGGGCAATTAATCAAAATGGCAATAACCCAAAATAGGCAATAAAACAAAATAGAACAATAAAGCAAAATGGGCAATAAATCAAAAATGGGCCAATAAATCAAAATAGGCACTAAAACAAAAATATACAATAATCAAAATGGCAATTAATCAAGAATGGGCCAATAAATCAAAATGGGCAATAAACCAAAAAATGGAAATTAATCAAATGGGCAAAAAAGATAGGCCAATAAATCAAAAATGGGCAATAAATCAAAACTAGGCAATAAATCAAAATGAGGCAATTAATCCAAAATGGGCAATAAATCAAAAATAAGCAATAAATCAAAATGGACAATAAATCAAAATCGGCAATAAATCAAAATGGCAATAAATCAAAATGGGGCATAAATCAAAAAGGGCTAAAACAAAAGGGCAAATCATCAAAATGGGCAATACACAACATGGACAATAAGTAAAAAAAAAACTGCCAACTAAAATGGCAATGGTTGACGAGCTGCAAGTGCCTGGATCAAGAGCCTCTTATATTTACCCCTCAACAGATCAATTTCTCTCAGGAAGTTGAACCTAAAATCAGAAAAATTAAAAAAATCATCAGTCTTATATTTAAGGATAATCATCAAATTTCCCTGAAATTTCATACAAAATTTGCAAATAACATCGTCCAGTTGAAGAATACAATGTATATACTACTTTATAAAAACCATCTTAAACATTAACCAAAGGTTTTTTTCCAAGAAAAAGTGAAAATTATGCGCAGTGCAAGTGAAGCGCACTTCCTACCTGGATGAAAGCCGAGGCGACTGAGGGGAAAGAAAACCCGCGAATGTCCTACACCTCAAACTGTCACCTGATTGTTTCATTTTGAGTGACCTGACTAATGAATGATATGCTGCTGGATTTGTTTTCCTGAACATCTCCTTCAGATATTAAAACTGCCAACTGCACCCTAATTGAGCAGGATTCCCGCCTGAAAAATAACTGCGTTTTAATGGTGGCGGCACCATAATCTGAACAATATTTAAACTAAAAGAAAAAAATAGTGACCGAAAAGTATCTTCTTTAACGTCAAGTTGTAAATTAAAAACTCGAATTCATAATTGGCATGATTATCCCGCCTCCAGAAGAGAACTGAGTTTTTATTTGTTGCAATCAAAATGCTGGAAATATTCTTTAGTAAATGACAAAATGTGACTCTAAACAAATATAGTGTTGAATTTTTAGTCCAAAATAAAGGAAAAAATTAGTTTTCATACATCAATATGAACATAGTAGGCGTCAATGTTGACGATGTAGGCTTCATGTTGACTATGTATGCTTCATGTTTGACTTTGTAGGCTTCTGTTAGACTATTTAGGCTTCATGTTAGACTTGTAGGCTTCATGTTGACTATAGTAGGTTTCATGTTCACTATGAAGGCTTCAATGTTGACTATGTAGGCCTCAGTTGACTATGTAGGCTTCATGTTGTGAATATGATAGGCTTTTCATGTTCACTATGTAGCTTCATTTGACATGTAGGCTTCAGGGTTGAACTGTGAAGCTTTCATGTTCACTATTAGGCTTCATGTCACTATGTAAGGACTTCCATGTTCACGTATGTAGCTTCAAGTTGACTATGTAGGCTTCCGTTGACTATGTATGCTTAAGTTGACTTGTAGGCTTCATGTATCACTATGAAGCTTTCAAGTACACTAAGATAAGGCTACATGTAGACTACGTAGGCTTCATGTTGGGCTGAAGGCTTCATGTTGACTACTGTAGGCTTCATGTTGACTATGTAGGATTACATGTTGACTTTGTAGGGCTTCATGTTGACTCATGTAAGGTCTACCATGTTATACAATGAAGCTTCATGTTTGACATGTAGCTTTCATGTTGACTAAGTAAGGCATACATGATTGACATTGTAGGCTTCATGATGACTATGTAGGCTTCATGTTTTACGTATGTAGGCTTACATGTTGACTGTAGGCTTCATGATGACTATGTAGCTCATGTTGACTATGTAGTCTTCATGTTCACTATGTATGCCTTCATTTTACTGAGTAGGCTTCATGTTGACTAAGTAGGGCTTCCTGGTTGACTATGAAGGCTTCATGTTCACTAAAAGGCTTCATGTTGACTAATGTATGGCTTATGTTGACTATGTAGGCTTCATGTTTGACATGTAGGCTTCATGTTGACTATGTAGCTTCAAGTTTGACTGTGTATCTTACATGTTGACTATTAGGCTTCATGTGACTATGTAGGCTTCATGTTGACTGTAAGGCTTACTGTTGACAATGAAGGCTTCATTAACATGTAAGCTTCAATGTTGACTCTGTAGGCTATCAGTTGACTAAGTATGCTTCATGTTTACTGTGGTAGGCTTCATGTTCACTAAGTAGGCTTCATGTTCACTATTTAGGCTTCAATGTTGACTAATGTAGGCTTCGATGTTGACTGTAGGCTTCCATGTGAAACTATTGTAGGCTTTCATGTAGACTATGTAGCTTCATGTGACTGTAGGCTTCATGTTACTATGTAGGCATCATGTTGAACTATGTAGGCTTCAAGTTGACTGTAGGCTTCATGTTGACTATGTAGCTTCCATGTTGACTATGTAGGCTTCATGTTGACTAATGTAGGACTTCATGTTGACGTAGGTCTTCATGAGTTGACTAGTAAGTGCTTCATGTAGACTATGAAGTGCTTCAAGTTCACTAGTAGGGCTTCATGATTACTGTGTAGGGCTTCATGATGACTGTGTAGCATTCATGTGACTATGTAGGCTTCATGTTGAATTATGAGGCTCAATTCACTATTTAGGCTTCATTTGACTATGTAGGCTTCATGTTGACTAAGTAGGCTTCTAATGTTGACTATGTGGCCTTCATGTTGACTATGTAGCATTCAAGTTGACTGGTAGGCTTCAGTGACTATTAATGCTTCATGTTGACTATGTAAGGCTTCATGATGCTGATAGGCCTCATGTTTGACTATTGGGACATCATGTTGACTATGTAGGTGCTCATTTCACTATGTAGGGCTTTCATGTTGCCCTATGTTAGGCTTCAAGTTGACTATGTAGGCCTTCAATGTTGACTAGTAGGCTTCATGTTGAGCTATGTATGCTTCATGTTACTGTAGGCTTCATGTTGACTATGTAGGCTTCATGTTGACTATGTAGGCTTCAATGTTTACTAATGTGAGGCTTCATTTGAACCTGTGATGCTTCATGTTGACATAAGGCTTCAAGTTGTACTATGTAGGTTCAATGTGTGACTAGTAGGCCTACATGTTGACTAATGTAGGCTACATTCATGTTACTATGTAGGCTTTCATGTTGACTAAGTAGGCTTCCAAGTTTACTATGTAGGTCTTTCATGTTCACTATGTAGGCTTCATTTTCACTATGTAGGCTTCATGTTCTCTATGTATGCTTCATGTTCACTATGTAGGCCTTCATGTTGCTTGTAGGCTTCATGGTTGCACTATGTAGGAGCTTCTATGTTCACTATGTATGCATCGGACCGGGGGTTTTACTGATTTTTTTTCATATTATTGCTGTTGACCCTCGTAGGTTTACGCTTCTTTTTATTATAACAATTTCATAATTATAAAGGTAGAAATAATTAAGTATATTATATTTTATTATCAATAAAATAATATATATTGTATAATATTAATAGTAAGCATAACATTGATTTTATAATAATATTAAAGATATGGGTAATATTGAACTCCAACAGCCATATTCTAGGGTAGTAGTGCGATTAGCTTTTCTTAATACGGTGAAAACACAGCTGGAGGGAGGAACCAGGACTTGTCTGCACTTTTTGATATCGGTTGACGGTCAGTGCCCTCCTTGGCAGGTCTTCTGAAGAGGACCTCATTTGAGGTCTAAATATGTCACATGTGGGTGATAGTCACCTTATACATATACTTTGGGTGACAGTCACCCCAATGCCTGTTCTCTGGCTGATAGTCAACAAATTATAGAGGCATAAAATGGGCCCAGGAGCTGGAGTTAATTATCTTATTGGCTAAGTTAGTGGTAATGAGTTATTTACAATTAGCAGATCAAAGACAGTTGATTCTATAATTGCTTTGATCTGAGGAGATGACCGTGTTTAAGTGAGCTTAGAGCGTCCATGAGTGCTTCTTAAAGGTGATCTCTTACAGGAGCTTAGATCTGAGGCGCTGACCGTGTTTAAGTGAGCTTAGAGCATCCATGAATGCTTCTTACAGGAGCTTTGATCTGTAGAGCTGACCGTCTTTAAGTGAGCTTAGAGCATCCATGAATGCTCCTTACAGGTAATCTCTTAGAGGAGCTTAGATCTGAGGAGCTGACCGTCTTTAAGTGAGCTTAGAGCATCCATGAGTGCTTCTTACAGGTGATCTCTTACAGGAGCTTAGATCTGAGGCGCTGACCGTGTTTAAGTGAGCTTAGAGCATCCATGAATGCTTCTTACAGGAGCTTTGATCTGTAGAGCTGACGTCTTTAAGTGAGCTTAGAGCATCCATGAATGCTCCTTACAGGTAATCTCTTAGAGGAGCTTAGATCTGAGGAGCTGACCGTCTTTAAGTGAGCTTAGAGCGTCCATGAGTGCTTCTTAATTTTGACCTCTTAGAGAGCTGAGCGTGTCTAAGTGAGCTTAAGTAGAGCATCCATGAGGACTTGCATGTCACAATTGATCTCCCTCACTAGAGCTTCGATCTGAGGCTTAGAGTTGAGTATTTCAACTGATTGAGTGTATGGGTTGTAGCGCACTGAGAATGGTCTTGGGATTGATGTTGCGAATTGACTGTAAACAGAAGAGATTGAATTAGTTGAGTGCTGTGTGTGTGGGGGGGGGTTGTGTGGGGTGTGTTGTGTGGGGTGTGTTGTGTGGGGTGTGTGTGTGTTGTGTCTGTGTGGTGTGTTGTGTGGGGTGTGTTGTGTGGGGTGTGTATGTGTTGTGTCTGTGTGGTGTGTGTGTGTGTTTTGTCTGTGTGGTGTGTTGTGTGGGGTGTGTTGTGTGGGGTGTGTGTGTGTGTTGTGTCTGTGTGGTGTGTTGTGTGGGGTGTGTGTGTGTTTTGTCTGTGTGGTGTGTTGTGTGTGGTGTGTTGTGTGGGTGTGTGTGTGTTTATGTCTGTGTGGTGTGTTGTGTGGTGGTTGTGTGGGGTGTGTGTGTTTGTGTCTGTGTGGTGTGTTGTGTGGGTGTGTGTGTGTGTTGTGTCTGTGTGGTGTGTTGTGTGGGTGTGTTGTGTGGGGTGTGTTGTGTGGGGTGTGTTGTGTGGGTGTGTTGTGTGGGGTGTGTGTGTGTTGTGTCTGTGTGTGTGTTTGCGTGGGGTGTGTTGTGTGGGTTGTTGTGTGGGGTGTGTTGTGTGGGTGTGGTTGTGTGGGGTGTCTGTGGGTGTGTTGGTGTGGGTGGTTGTGTGGGGTGTGTTGTGTGGGGTGTGTGTGTGTTGTGTCTGGTGGTGTGTTGTGTGGGGTATGTGTGTGTTGTGCTGTGTGGTGTGTTGTGTGGGGTGTGTTGTGTGGGGTGTGTTGGTGGGGTGTGTGTGGTTGTGCTGTGTGGTGTGTTGTGTGGGGTGTGTTGTGGGGGTGTGTGTGTGTTGTGTCTGTTGGTGTGTTGTGTGTGGTGTTGTGTGGGGTGGTGTGTGTGTGTGGGGTGTGTGTGTTGTGTCTGTGTGGTGTGTTGTGTGTGGGTGTGTTGTGTGGGGTGTGTGTGTGTGTTGTGTCTGTGTGGTGTGTTGTGTGGGGTGTGTGTGTGTGGGGTGTGTGTGTGTTGTGTCTGTGTGGTGTGTTGTGTGTGGTGTGTTGTGTGGGGTGTGTTGTGTTTATGTCTGTGTGGTGTGTTTGTGTGGGGTGTGTGTGTGTTATGTCGTGTGGTGTGTTGTGTGGGGTGTGTTGTGTGGGGTGTGTGTGTGTTGTGTCTGTGTGGTGTGTTGTGTGGGGTGTGTTGTGTGGGGTGTGTGTGTGTTGTGTCTGTGTGGTGTGTTTGTGTGGGTGTGTTGTGTGGGTTGTTGTGTGTTATGTCTGTGTGGTGTGTTGTGTGGGGTGTGTTGTGTGGGTGTGTGTGTTATGTCTGTGTGGTGTGTTGTGTGGGGTGTGTGTGTGTGGGGTGTGTGTGTTGTGTCTGTGTGGTGTGTTGTGTGGTGTGTTGTTGTGGTGTGTTGTGTGGGTGTGTTGTGTGTGGGTGTGTGTGTGTTGTGTCTGTGTGGTGTGTTGTGTGTGGTGTGTGTGTGGGTGGTGTGTTTTGTCTGTGTTGTGTGGGGTGTGTTGTGTGGGTGTGTGTGTGTGGGGTGTGTGTGTGTTGTGTCTGTGTGGTGTGTTGTGTGTGGTGTGTTGTGTGGGGTGTGTGTGTGTTATGTCTGTGTGGGTTGTTGTGTGGGGTGTGTTGTGTGGGGTGTGTGTGTGTTGTGCTGTTGTGTGTTTGTGTGTGGTGTGTTGTGTGGGGTGTGTGTGTGTTATGTCTGTGTGGTGTGTTTGTGTGTGTGTTGTGTGGGGGTGTGTGTGTGTTTATGTCTGTGTGGTGTGTTGTGTGTGGTGTGTTGTGTGGGTGTGTGTGTGTTATGTCTGGTGTGTGTTGTGTGGGGTGTGTTGTGTGGGGTGTGTGTGTGTTATGTCTGTGTGGTGTGTTTGTGTGGGGTGTGTTGTGTGGGGTGTGTGTGTGTTATGTCTGTGTGTGTGTTGTGTGGGGGTGTGTTGTGTGGGTGTGTTGTGTGGGTGTGTGTGTGTTATGTCTGTGTGGTGTGTTGTTGGGGTTGTATAGTGTGTGTGTGTGTGTGTGTGTGTGAGTGTGTGTGTGTGTGTGTGTGTGTGTGTTGTACTCGTCTATATGGGGGTTGCAGAGGTCGAGTCCAGCTCCTGGCCCCGTATACGTATACATGTGTTTTAATTCAATAAATCTATTAACACAGAAAAAAACACAATCACACGTCAAAAAATTTCTACAAGAAAAAATTTACTACGATTTATAAGTCATTAAACAGAAAGTGGAAGAAAGAAAAAGCAAAGAAACAAAAGAAAATGCAAAAGAACAGAAGAGAAAGCAAACGAACAAAGTTAATAAAGAAGAGAGAGTAAAACTCAACAACAGACTAAGCTCACATAAGCTTCTGTTTGGCGTCCTCGAAGCTCTCAGCAACATAGTAAACAGGCTGGTACTCAGTAATGGGGTACTTCTGGACACAGGTCTTGGCTGGGTCGAAGCACCTCAACTCAGGTTTGTCAGTGAGACAGTACTCAAGCTCTCCGAAGGACGACAGTAAGCCAGCTCCATAAGCCTTGTTCTTCCCATCTTGTCGACAGATTCCATACTCCACCGTGAACCAGTAACACTGTTGAGTAGATGGGTAGAGGCTGAAGTTAATGGATAGTGGCTTGGAATTTATGGATAGGGGCTTGGAATGTATGGATAGGGGCTTGGATTGATCGATAGGGACTTGGAATGTATGGATAGGGGCTTGGAATGCATGAATAGGGACTTGGAATGTATGGATAGGGGCTTGGAATGTATGCATAGGGGCTTGGAATGTATGGATAGGGGCTTGGAATGTATGGATATGGGAGCTGTGATTTCGTGCATTGGGCAGGGAGGTATAATATCTTGTAGGAGTGAGGAAGAGCCAGTTGTGTGTGTGAAGGAGGTACGTGAGGCTGTGTGTGGGGGGTGGGGAGGTGCATGATGCTGTGTGAGTGTGGGGGGATGCATTAGGCAGTGGGTAGAACGAAATGAGGGAATAAAAGCAGCTGGGATTGATGGGATCATGGCAGAAATTATTAAAAGCAGGGGAGAATATAGTGTTGGAATGGTTGGTGCTTTTATTTAATAAATGTATGGAAGATGGTAAGGTACCTAGAAACTGGCAGAGAATATACATAGTTCCTTTGTATAAAGGCAAAGGGGACAAAAGAGGTAGAAATTATGGAGAAATAAGCCTGTTGAGTATACCTGGTAAGGAATACGGTAGAGTTATTGAAAGAATTAAGAGTAAGACGGAGAGCAGGATAGCAGATGAACAAGGAGGCTTCAGGAAGGGTAGGGGGTGTGTAGACCAAGTATTTATAGTGAAACATGTAGGTGGGAAGTACAGTACCTGTACTCTGAAGGTTGAGTGAGGATGTTACAGTTCTGGAAGTGGGAAGTACAGTACCTGTACTCTGAAGGATGAGTGGGGATGTTACAGTTCTGGAGGTGGGGAAGTACAGTACCTGTACTCTGAAGGATGAGTGGGGATGTTACAATACTGGAGGTGGGAAGTACAGTACCTGTACTCTGAAGGATGAGTGGGGATGTTACAATACTGGAGGTGGGAAGTACAGTACCTGTACTCTGAAGGATGAGTGGGGATGTTACAATACTGGAGGTGGGAAGTACAGTACCTGTACTCTGAAGGATGAGTGGGGATGTTACAATACTGGAGGTGGGAAGTACAGTACCTGTACTCTGAAGGATGAGTGGGGATGTTACAATACCGGAGGTGGGAAGTACAGTACCTGTACTCTGAAGGATGAGTGGGGATGTTACAATACTGGATGTGGGAAGTACAGTACCTGTACTCTGAAGGATGAGTGGGGATGTTACAATACTGGAGGTGGGAAGTACAGTACCTGTACTCTGAAGGATGAGTGGGGATGTTACAATACTGGAGGTGGGAAGTACAGTACCTGTACTCTGAAGGATGAGTGGGGATGTTACAATACTGGAGGTGGGAAGTACAGTACCTGTACTCTGAAGGATGAGTGGGGATGTTACAATACTGGATGTGGGAAGTACAGTACCTGTACTCTGAAGGATGAGTGGGGATGTTACAATACTGGAGGTGGGAAGTACAGTACCTGTACTCTGAAGGATGAGTGGGGATGTTACAATACTGGAGGTGGGAAGTACAGTACCTGTACCTCTGAAGGATGAGTGGGGATGTTACAATACTGGATGTGGGAAGTACAGTACCTGTACTCTGAAGGATGAGTGGGGATGTTACAATACTGGAGGTGGGAAGTACAGTACCTGTACTCTGAAGGATGAGTGGGGATGTTACAATACTGGAGGTGGGAAGTACAGTACCTGTACTCTGAAGGATGAGTGGGGATGTTACAATACTGGAGGTGGGAAGTACAGTACCTGCACTCTGAAGGATGAGTGAGGATGTTACAGTACTGGAGGTGGGAAGTACAGTACCTGCACTCTGAAGGATGAGTGAGGATGTTACAGTTCTGGAGGTGGGAAGTACAGTACCTGTACTCTGAAGGATGAGTGGGGATGTTACAATACTGGAGGTGGGAAGTACAGTACCTGTACTCTGAAGGATGAGTGGGGATGTTACAATACTGGAGGTGGGAAGTACAGTACCTGTACTCTGAAGGATGGGTGAGGATGTTACAGTACTGGAGGTGGGAAGTACAGTACTGCACTCTGAAGGATGAGTGGGGATGTTACAATACTGGAGGTGGGAAGTACAGTACCTGTACTCTGAAGGATGAGTGGGGATGTTACAATACTGGAGGTGGGAAGTACAGTACCTGTACTCTGAAGGATGAGTGAGGATGTTACAATACTGGAGGTGGGAAGTACAGTACCTACACTCTGAAGGATGAGTGAGGATGTTACAGTACTGGAGGTGGGAAGTACAGTACCTGCACTCTGAAGGATGAGTGGGGATGTTACAGTACTGGAGGTGGGAAGTACAGTACCTGTACTCTGAAGGATGGGTGAGGATGTTACAGTTCTGGAGGTGGGAAGTACAGTACCTGCACTCTGAAGGATGAGTGGGGATGTTACAATACTGGAGGTGGGAAGTACAGTACCTGTACTCTGAAGGATGGGTGGGGATGTTACAGTACTGGAGGTGGGAAGTACAGTACCTGCACTCTGAAGGATGAGTGGGGATGTTACAATACTGGAGGTGGGAAGTACAGTACCTGTACTCTGAGGATGAGTGGGATGTTACAATACTGGAGGTGGGAATACAGTACCTGTACTCTGAAGGATGAGTGGGGATGTTACAATACTGGAGGTGGGAAGTACAGTACCTGTACTCTGAAGGAGGGTGAGGATGTTACAGTTCTGGAGTGGGAAGTACAGTACCTGCACTCTGAAGGATGAGTGGGGATGTTACAATACTGGAGGTGGGAAGTACAGTACCTGTACTCTGAAGGATGTGGGGATGTTACAATACTGGAGGTGGGAAGTACAGTACCTGTACTCTGAAGGATGAGTGAGGATGTTACAGTACTGGAGGTGGGAAGTACAGTACCTGCACTCTGAAGGATGAGTGGGGATGTTACAATACTGGAGGTGGGAAGTACAGTACCTGTATCTCTGAAGGATGAGTGGGATGTTACAGTTCTGGAGGTGGGAAGTACAGTACCTGCACTCTGAAGGATGGGTGAGGATGTTACAGTTCTGGAGGTGGGAAGTACAGTACCTGCACTCTGAAGGATGGGTGAGGATGTTACAGTTTCTGGAGGTGGGAAGTACAGTACCTGCACTCTGAAGGATGAGTGAGGATGTTACAGTCCTGCAGGTGGGAATGAGTGAGGATGTTAAAGTTCCGAGGTGGAAAATAAAAACCAAAATAATCTCAACTCACCGTTGCTAACTTTTCAATAAACTCATCAGGCGCCCCCAGGGAGGCTAAACCAATCTCCTGCGAGAACTGCGCAAAGGAAGGATCAGCTAGGAGAGGCGCATGACCCAATAGTTCATGACAGATGTCAGGCTCCGGCGTGTAGAGTGGCATACTAGGGTGACGGATGTACTGTGTTGAGTGGAAAACTCTGAATGCCAAGCCTGCCAGAAAGTCCCTAGATGACAGAAGACCTGCCACGGGACGCAAGGTTGAAGCCGTACAATCTGTAAATAAGTTTATTTAGGTACAGGCACAAAATTATTATACACAGTAACATGTGTGTAAATTACCTAGGATAACCCAAAGCAGTCAGTGGTTTATTTCCATTGGGATCCTGTGGGTTAGTTTGTGGTGATCAGTCCCTCTGAAGCCTCAGTAGACCACAGTCTTGTGTTGTGATTCCATTGCTTTACTCAGTAAGTTTATTTAGGTATTGATACAAAATAATTACAATTATCATGTAGTATAGTGTAAATTATCTCTCCATTACTACTCCAGTACCTTCTTTCTCTCCTAGTCCCGTCCCTGTCCTCCTTTCTGTATATTACTGGCTCCCTCACTTCGTGTGTCAGTGTGACTAGTCAGTTTACCTGGAGTTTACTGGAGAGAGTTCCGGGGGTCAACGCCCCGCGGCCCGGTCTGTGACCAGGCCTCCTGGTGGATCAGAGCCTGATCAACCAGGCTGTTACTGTTGGCTGCACGCAAACCAACATACGAGCCACAGCCCGGCTGGTGAGGAACCGACTTTAGGTGCTTGTCCAGTGCCAGCTTGAAGACTGCCAGGGGTCTGTTGGTAATCCCCCTTATGTGTGCTGGGAGGCAGTTGAACAGTCTCGGGCCCCCGACACTTATTGTATGGTCTCTTAACGTGCTAGTGACACCCCTGTTTTTATTGGGGGGATGTTGCATCGTCTGCCAAGTTTTTGCTTTCGTTAGTGAGTGATTTTCGTGTGCAAGTTCGGTACTAGTCCCTATAGGATTTTCCAAGTGTATAAAATCATGTATCTCTCTCGCCTGCGTTCAGGGAATACAGGTTTAGGAACCTGTCGGACCGAAAACGTCGTCGTAAGTTCCTCTCTCGTATATGCGGGTTATTTGTGTATTGTTCCAGTCACACTGTTTTGCCTTTTTAAGCTCTTTATATTATAAATTGCCCCGTGGCCTGGTGGCTTAAGCTCTCGCTTCACGCGGCGAGGTTCTGGGTTCGATTCCCAGTGAGGGTAGAAACATTGGACGTGTATACACCGGTTGTCTATGTTCACTCACCAGTAAAATGGGTACCTGGGTGTCAGTGGACTGGTGTGGGTCGCATCCTGGGACAAAACTGACCTAATTTGTGTGAAATGCTCTACATAACAAGTGACTTTCTATACAGTAGTATGTCACTGATGTCAGCTATGGTCTGTATACCTTGTACATGTACTTGTAGTAAATAAATATAGTATAACCCAAAAAGGTCAAAGTGACTTATTTCTTATGGGCATTGTTGTCACCGTGAGCTCCATCTCCTTTTAAGCAAGAGCCTGATACTAGATGTGGATTTTATTCCGGATTTTGGAAATAAGAAAGAGGATTTTGGATTTCAGCTCCAGTAGTGATTTGGATTTCAGTTCCAGTAGTGATTTCTTGTTCTCTGTCCCTCCTAAACGAAGACACATTCGTATCTTCTCAGTATTTTAATTCTTTCTAACCAGCATTTCTCATCCTTATAATTAAGCTGGAAGAATGAGATACTTGGGCAGTATTTGGGAATCTTTACTGTAAAAAACGTTTCGCCAGCAGTGACTTCTTCAGTCCAATACAGAGAAGAGTGGAAGACCAGGGGTCGTTTGAGGTAATCAGTCCCTCAGCCTGGAGTCAATGCGTTCTGACCACCACTGTTTGATAGGTTGAATGCATCGACTCCAGGTGAGGGACGGATTACCTCAAACTCTTTACCTTACACCATTCTTCTCTGAATACGACTGCAGAAGCCACTGTTTTATGTAACATATCTAGAGTAAAGACTCCTATGTCTTACACAAGTGTCTCTTTAATTTGTCACTTTTCTAAATTCGCAACACAGGGCTCTGTGATTCTGCACCTTCTCCTGTAGAGGAACCGTCTCTCCTTTCTAAACTGCCTCTTCTCTCATTTTTTAATGGTTCAGATACTAATGGTATTAAACTCATTCTGAACACAATAGTACAAATCACTCATTCTGTGTTTCCAACATATTTCAGTAAGATTGTTTTAGTCCAATTAGTGTAGTTACCGTTAAATTTTCTTGAGTATTTTCTCACTGTGTTAACTGTGTTATCTTTAAATTTATTTGTTAACAAATATTGAGAGGATAGCTATGTTAAAGATATTGAAGGGATAACTATTGAAAATATTGAGAGGCTAACTATTGAAAAATATTGAAGGGATAACTACTGAAAAATATTGAGAGGCTAACTATTGAAAAATATTGAAGGGATAACTACTGAAAATTATTAAAGGCATAAATAAAAAAAATTAGGGGTAACAAAAACAAAATTTCGAAGGGGTAACTCCGATATCTCCAGGAAAACCCTCCAGACGGTACATTTCCCCAACATTTCTCACCTTTGAGGAAGTTCGAAACGTCTTGGAGCTGCGGAATATTATCCTCCCGGTAGCCACAGTTCTCTATAAGCAGCGGGAACACCATGTTGTGTTCCTTACATGCGTGAGTCTTGTACAGTTTCGTTAAGTTACGAAATACATTACCCAGGTGGCCACCTCCTCCTCCGTGTAGTCAATTCTGGGAATTTCTTGATTGTTTGGAATTGTGGGAATTGATTATTTAGAGTACACGCGGATATAATGGATGAATTCAGCTGTTTTAATATGATTGTTGATTTAATAGGGATAGATGTGACATTGGTGGGTGTTTAATAGGGACAAATGTGACATTGGTGACTGTTTAATAGGGACAAATGTGACATTGGTGACTGTTTAATAGGGATAAATGTGACATTGGTGGCTTTTTAATAGGACAATGTAACACTGTGTGGCTGTTTAATAGGGACAAATAGGAATTCATTTTAAAAATTTTATATTTGTTTTTCTGTTGATTGTTAACCTCAGTTAGTTTTATAATAAGCCAGGATAAGCCTGGGAAGCCAGGATAAGCCTGGGAAGACAGGATAAGCCTGGGAAGCCAGGATAAGCCTGAGAAGCCAGTTAGTATGGTTTATTTTTATTTGCAGTTCTTAGGAACTTCCTCAGGATGCCACCCAAAGCAGTTAGCTAATTACCAGATACCTACTTACTGCTAGGTGAACAGTGACAGCAGGTATTAGTAGACTAACACTAGGTACCTACTTATTGGTAAATAAACGGGGACTGCAGGTGTTAGGTTAAGAGATTTATCCATTTCGTACAGCACCTGCTGCCTTGGTCACCTATGACTTAAAATAGGTACCTGGGTGTTAGCCGAGTGTTGTGGGTGGCATCCTGGGGGAGGACCGAAGGATTTCAATGGATTGTAATAAAGTTGGTAGAATACCGACAATATGTAAAGTAAAAGGACACAAGTGCAAACTAATGTGACATTTTATTGTGGCAACGTTTCGCTCTCCAGGAGCTTTATCAAGCCATTACAAACAATACATGGACACAGAGGGTATATAAAGGCTCAGAGTGAGGTGCAATACTAGTGAGGTAACATTTCGATGTTCACTAGTGGTGGTAGTTAGTAGTAGTAGTAGTAGTAGTAGTAGTAGTAGTAGTAGTAGTATTGCACCTCACTCTGAGCCTTTATATACCTCTGTGTCCGCGTATTGTTTGTAATGGCTTGATAAAGCTCCTGGAGAGCGAAACGTTGCCACAATAAATGTCACATTAGTTGCACTTGTGTCCTTTTGATTTCAATGGAAATGAGCCACACTACCTGGTTTTGCTGGGTTATAACACACACACACACACACCACACACACACACACACACACACACACCACACACAAAACACACACACACACACACACACACATACACACTCACTGGAGGACAGGAGGGTTAGGGGAGACATGATAACGACATACAAAATACTGAGAGGAATAGCTAAGGTGGACAGAGACAGGATGTTCCAGAGATGGGACACAGAAACAAGGGGTCATAGTTGGAAGTTAAAGACTCAGATGAATCCAGGGATGTTAGGAAGTATTTCTTCAGTCACAGAGTTGTCAGGAAGTGGAATAGTCTGGCAAGTGATGTAGTGGAGGCAGGAGCCATACATAGCTTTAAGATGAGGTTTGATAAAGCTCATGGAGCAGGGAAAGAGAAGACCCAGTAGCGATCAGTGAAGAGACGGGGCCAGGAGCTATGTTCGACCCATGCAATCACAAATATGTGAGTACACAGACACACACAACGGTTGACCTTCAAAGATGTAAATAGGGATAATCATCCTTGACAACAAACATGACCAGTCATGGAGTACGCAGCACCCTAGTGGAACCTCATCTAACCAAACACGAGGTTAACCTTCAGAGTCCACAGGCGATAATTCATACCCCACGCACACACATACCTGACAGGGAGGCAACAACGAGTCATGGCACGTGACGAGGTGTCAAGTGGGCGCCTGTGGCAAGCGGGGTCCCACAGGGGTCAGTCCTAGGACCAGTGCTATTTTTGGTATATGTGAGTGACAGGACTGAAGGGATAGATTCAGAAGTGTCCCTGTTTGCAGATGATGTGAAGTTAATGAGGAGAATTAAATCAGATGAGGATCAGGCAGGACTTCAAAGAGACCTGGACAGACTGGACACCTAGTCCAGCAACTGGCTTCTCCGAATTTAACCCCACCAAATGCAAAGTCATGAAGATCGGGGAAGGACAAAGAAGACCGCAGACATAGTATAGTCTAGGTGGCCAAAGACTGCAAACCTCGATCAAGGAGAAAGATCTTGGGGTGAGTATAACACCGAGCATGTCTCCTGTGGTGCACATCAACCAGATAACTGCTGCAGCATATGGGCGCCTGGCAAACCTAAGAATAGCGTTCCGATACCTCAGTATGGAATCGTTCAAGACTCTGTCCACCTTGTACGTCAGGCCCATACTGGAATACGCAGCGCCAGTTTGGAACTCACACCTGGTCAAGCACGTCAAGAAATTAGAGAAAGTGCAAAGGTTTGCAACAAAACTAATTCAGTAGCTAAGGGGATTGTCCTGAGAAGGAAGGTTAAGGGAAATTGGCGACACTGGAAGACAGGAGGGTTAGAGGAGACATGATAACGACATAGTGCGAGGAATTGACAAGGTGGACAGAGGCAGGATGTTCTAGACACGGGACACAGAAACAAGGGGTCACAGTTGGAAGTTGAAGACTCAGATGAGTCAAAGGAATGTTATGAAGTATTTCTTCAGTCATAGAGTTGTCAGGAAGTGGAACAATCTGGAGAGTGATGTAGTGGAGGCAGGATCCATACATAGCTTGAAGAAGAGGTATGATAAAGCTCATGGAGCAGGGAGAGAGAGGACCCAGTAGTGATCAGTGAATGGCGGGGCCAGGAGCTATGTCTCGATCCCTGCAACCACAAATAGGTGAGTACACACACACACACACCACACACACACACACACACACACACACACACACACACACATACGTGGCGAGGTGTCACAGTGGGCACCTGTGACCAGCGGGGTCCCACAGGGGTCAGTCCTAGGACCAGTGCTGTTTCTGGTATTTGTGAACGACATGACGGAAGGAATAGACTCCGAAGTGTCCTGTTTGCAGATGACGTGAAGTTGATGAGAAGAATTCACTCGATCGAAGACCGGGCAGATAAAAGGGATCGGGGACAGGTTGCAGACCTGGTCCAGCAATTGGCTCCTGGAGTTCAATCCACCAAGTGCAAAGTCATGAAGATTGGGGAAGGGCAAAGAAGACCCCCTACGGAGTACAGTCTAGGGGGCCCAGAGACTACAATTTTCACTCAAGGAAAAAGATCTTGGGGGGGAGTATAACACCAGGCACATTCCTGAAGGCACATCAACCAAATAACTGTTGCAGCTTACAGGCGCCTGCAAACCTCAGAACGCATTCCGACATTTAATAAGGAATCGTTCAGGACCCTTTTACCCCGTGTACGTTTAGGTCCTTATTGGAGTATGCGGCACCAGTTTGGAAACCCACACCTAGCTAAGCACGTAAAGAAACTAGAGAAAGTGTAAAGGTTTGAAAACAAGATAGTCCCAGAGCTAAGAGGTATGTCCTACGAGGAGAGATTAGGATATCAACCTGACGACACTGGAGGACAAGAGAGATAGGGGGGACATGATACGACTTACAAAATACTGAGGGGAATTGACAAGGTGGACGAAGACAGGATGTTCCAGAGACTGGACACAACAACAAGGGGACACAGTTGGAAGCTGAAGACACAGATGAATCACAGGAATTTTAGGAAAGTATTTCTCCAGCCACAGAGTAGTTCAGGAAGTGGAATAGTTTGGGAAGCGATGAAGTGGAGGCAGGATCCATACATAGCTTTGAGAGAGGTTTGTTAAAGCTCACGGTTCAGGGAGAGTGACCTAGTAGCGACCAGTGAAAAAGCGGGGCCAGGAGCTTGGACTCGACCCCTGCAACCTCAACTAGGTGAGTATACACACACACACACACACACACAAAACCACACCACCACACCCCAACACCCACACACAACACACACACACACAAACACGCACACACACACACACACACACACACACACACCACACAACACACACACACACACAACACACACACAATATATATATATATATATATATATTTTATATATATATATAAAATATTATATTATATATATTTTATTATTATAAGGTTGAAGTTATGGACTTATGTTGTAGAAATAAGCAATGTCAGCGAAGAACTTCCTCCTCTCGCGGTATATTGGGTCAGTAAAGCCAGGGTGGTCAGCATCCAGCTTGATCCGTAGGAGAGAATCTGATTGGCGAAGCCCGGGCCAGATCGGCAATCTTCGAGGGAACCCGGGCACTGTGTCTGTAAGGAAGAGAAGGTGTAATCAGATCACCTGCCTAACAGGGCCAGTAGGCCTCCTGCAGTGCTCTTTCTTGAGCGGGTTTGATTAAGACCTGCCTAGTATGGGGGCAGTAGACCTCCGCAGTGTTCCTTCTTATATACATAACATGATAACTTGGCATCTAAGAGACGTTTCGCCCACTAAGAGAGAGTGGCCTTCACAGTGGAACACTGGGGAAAAGTGGAGTGAGGCAGTAATGGAGAGGCGGTTTCATGTGGTCGGGGCCCTTGGGATTAAAGTCATCAGGAGTGTAAGATGGGCCCAGAGCTTTAGCAGTGGAGTTGTAGGAATCTGAGGAATCTCAAAGGAAGCTAGTGGTCATTGTTTGTATAGTAGTGCAGCACAGCAGAAGTAAAGTAGTAGTGTAGCAGTAGTAGTAGTAGTAATAGTAGTAGTAGTAGTAGCAGTAGTAGTAGTAGTAATAGCAGTAGTAGTAGTAATTGTTGTAGTAGTATAGTAGTAGTGCTTGTTGTAGTGGTTGCTGTAGTAACAGTAGTTGTAGAATAGTAATTATGGTAGTTGGTTGTGAGTAGTAGTAACAGCAGACCATAAGCGTGGTTGGCTCAACCCGTAGTAGAAATAGTTAACTTTGATGTGTGACGCAGCAGATGTGGTTGTTTTTAAAATACAATCCCTGGGACTATAGACGACTGGAAGGGTTATTTGAGGTAATCAGTCCTCAACTTCGGTGGAAGATAATCAGTTATTGGCCCTACAGAAGCCACTGGAAGATTGGGTAATCAGTCCCTCAGTCTTGAGGTGCAGCAGCTGGAGATAAAGACACAGGTAGGCGGGGCCCACTAGTGCACTAACAGGTGTGTACCCAAAACCCGTTATCTTTCCCCTTTCTATCCAGGTATCCCTTGTTACCCATTTTACTTACCCTTGTTATCCAGGTATCCCCTTTTTACCCAGGTTTTCTTACCCTTGTTATCCAGGTATTCCTTGTTACCCAGGTATTCTTACCCTTGTTATCCGGGTTGGTTCCTGGAGATGAAACCCGGAAGTAGGAACAGCTGGGCTCTCATCTCTTCCATGGCTGCTCCAGGTCACCCGAGGTCGAGTCACACTCTACCATAAACTCGTACTTTGCTTCTCGTCTTGAAGGTCGAGATCGATGTGTAGCAGGTTGACGTTGTGGGCCTGTCACATGCATAACCACGGGTATAATACAGGTATATCCCGGTATATCACAGTATAACACTGATATACCAAGTGTATCACACGTATAGAATTTTTTAAGGCTGGGAAAAAGAAAAGAATTTCCGTAAAGAATGGGACCCAATTTCCCCATTCTTGAAAACAAACCTAAGATTCCCGAGGATCAGAGAAGAAATGGGAAGAAAGCACTAAGAAGAAAAGAAGAAGAAACGAACAGGAAGATAATGAAGAAGGGAGAGAAGAAACTAGTTGGTATTTACCTGGAATATCTTGAGGGCATTAGCCAGCGCCCGACCTCCTCTGTCATGGAGAAGATCAGCGTAGTACTCTTGGCCTCCTCTTCTCCCTCCATGATATACTGACCTCCCTCCATCAGTGTTGGCTGCTGGAGGAGAAAACAGTGTTAAACAACAGTCCGCAGAGTAATAATGGTGGAAATACCAACAAAATGATTGGTAAATGGACAGGAGGGATTGGGAGGATATAACACTGGAGGACAGGAGGGATAGGGGGGGATATGATAACACTGGAGGACAGGAGGGATAGGGGGGATATGATAACACTGGAGGACAGGAGGGATAGGGGGATATGATAAACTGGAGGACAGGAGGGATAGGGGGGATATGACAACACTGGAGGACAGGAGGGATAGGGGGGGTATGATAACATGGAGGACAGGAGGGATTGGAAGAATATGATAACACTGGAGGACAGGAGGGATAGGGGGGGGTATGATAATGCTGGAGGACAGGAGGGATTGGAAGGATATGATAACATGGAGGACAGGAGGGATAGGGGGGGGTATGATAACACTGGAGGACAGGAGGGATAGGGGGGGTATGATAACACTGGAGGACAGGAGGGGTAGGGGGGTATGATAACACTGGAGGACAGGAGGGATTGGGAGGATATGATAACATTGGAGGACAGGAGGGATAGGGGGGTATGATAACACTGGAGGACAGGAGGGATGGGGGGGACACATGATTACGACATAAAAAATATTGAGAGGAATTGACAAGGTGGACAAGGACAGAATGCGTCACAGATGTAGCACAGCAACAAGAGGACGCAGCTACAAGTTTAAAAAATTCAGATGAGTCACAGGGACGCTAGGAAGTGTTTCTTCCATATCGGAGGGTTATTGAGGAAAGTCGAGGACCACAGAATAGGAGAAATTTTTTCCTGGATAGAGGTGCGGTTGACGGATAGGCAACAGAGATTTTGCATAAACAGAGAGAAATCAGAGCGAGGACGCATCACAAGCGATGTTCCGCAGGGGTCAGTGTTGGGCCCCCTTATTGTTCCATAGGGGTCAGTGTTGGGTCTCTCATTGTTCCACAGAGGTCAGTGTTGGGCCCCTCGTTGTTCCTAGGGGTTTAGTGTTGGGCCCCTTGTTCCACAGGGGTCAGTGTTGGGCCTCTTGTTGTTCACAATTTACATAAATGACATAAATGAAGAAATAAACAGTGACATAAGCAAGTTTGCAAATAACACCAAAATAAGCGTCGAATTAACTCTGACGAAGACACTAGAGAGCTGCAGGAAGATCTAAATAGACTGACGCAGTGGTCGGAAAAGTGGCAGATACAGTTTAAAGTAGACAAGTGCAAAGCTCTAAAACCAAGACAACATTGCTTAAATGTTAGCAATAAAAAGAATAGAACTCTTAGTGTCCTCAGGTTATTATTCAACTCTATGTATCATTGGTTAGGCTTCATTTAGATTATGCTGCAATCAGTTTCATTATATCATGGAATTACCTTAACTACGATCAAGTCAATTGTCCTTGACTTCCGCTTGGCCGATTTCATAGGACTGAGAAATTACCTGGGTGGGGTGAGCTGGAATGACCTGACTATGGGTCAGGTAGGTGGTGATGGTTGCGAATAGAGAAATTAGATCAAAAAGAAATGACCCCGAATAGGTAAACAATAGATTAAAACATTGACCAAAAGAGAGACATTTACAGGCGAATCAAAAGAGAGGATGGGCAGTTAAAAAAACATATTCAGTTAAAGAGAGAAATAAAAATGGAATCGGAAAAAGCAAAGAGAGATTATGAGGTTAAAGTGCAAGGGATTCGAAGACTAACCCAAAAGGATTCTTTCAGGTATAACAAACATTAGGGACAAGATATAAAAATTCTTTATAATGTCAAAGGCTACAACGGCTGTGAACCTGTTTTAAGGGTGTTGTAGGTAAGATTTAAGGACTACAAGGGTCATGTGAACCTGTTTAAGGATGTAGGTAAGGTTCAAGAACAACCACTTTTGAAGTTGATATCCTTAGAATTTAAGGCCTATGACGGCTATAAATTCTGCTAGAAATCATCCCATTTGTAACCTAGAATAGCAGGCCTACTGGCCCATACTAGGCAGGTCCTTCTTCAACCAAACCCACTAACAAAATTACCCAACCCATTATCAGTGTTCCCCAAGAAATGAACCTTGATAACCCCATTAACTCATGTACAAGTCTCACTCAAATACAATCCTTCTGTCTAACTCAACTCACCTCCTTCACTATACCAGCAATCCCTAATTCAATAACAGAACTACGATCCTCGTATCAACACCAGACAAGCAAAACAACTGCTGCTCCGGAACACACCGAACACCAAGAAATCTACCGCAAGACTGATGCCTGAGGCTCTCCGGTTGCTCTTTTATACTTAACTCCAAGCGGTTTTTCCCCGAGCCGCCGTTGGCGGCCGTGAAAAATATTGAATTCCGTTTCAAATCACTGGATATTGCAAATTTTTGTTGCGCGTTGCAGTAGATAGGGCGTTCGTGGGTGGTGGTTTGATTGTGGTTGTGGGGATTGTGGTTATTTGATGGGAAGTTGGTGGAAAAATAGGAGAATGATGCTGTTGATAATGATTCAAGGTGAGTTTGTGATATGTTACGTCAGCCGTGGAAGTGATACAGTGTTTGTGCGGTAATAACGTCGCTGTATTACGTCAGATTTCCAGGTGGACGTACGTCGGATTTCCAGGTGGACGTACGTCGGATTTCCAGGTGGACGTACGTCGGATTTCCAGGTGGTGGACTATCCGAGGCTTACTACGTCAGATAGATAGGTGGACTATAACAAGTTAACGTGCATCAGACTCCCAGTTGAACTGTCACAAGTTGACGTGCGTCTATAAAGTAGGTCAGAACCGAGTGTTGGTTAATGGGGGCTTAAAGTCTATGTACTACACGAGAGTGTAGTGTATATACACTGGGGCATGCACCTCTCAGTGTATATACACCGGGGCATACACCTCTCATTGTATTTTACACTGAGAGGTTTGTGTCTCAGAGACAACTTTACCAGAGGACCAGTCAATAAGATGACTGTGATCTCTGACATGACATTCTTGCCGACACCAATAACGCTCTTTTCTGTCATATTAGAAATCACAGTTATTGACTGGTCCTCTGGTAAAACTGTCTACCATACTTCTAGCTGTCACAGTCATTGTCTTGTTAAAGCATCACTTATACACAACTTTCCCAGTATGAATCTTAGTCGTGGCTGTCTCTGTAGATGTTTTTCTTACGCATTACATTATCAAGTGCTGCAAACATCAGAACACTCGTGATTTGACCTGATTCTTTCTTCTCCTCTTCTCCCTGTCTCTTCTAGCGCACTGAGCTCACACACTGAGGTCCGGAGATCGAATCCCCGGTACGGCTGGAAAAACATTAGGACACCTGCTGTCCATGTTCACCTAGCAGTAAAATGGGTACCTGGGTAGTAGTCGACTAGTGTGGGTCGCATTTTTGGGACAAAAAATGACCTAATTTGCGGGGAAATGCTCAGCATAACAAGCGGCTTTCTGTATAATAGAATGTCATTGATGTCAGCTATGGTCTGTATACCTTGTACATGTACTGGTAGAAATTAAGATATTATTATTTCTTCTGCGTAAGTGTGTTCTGTCCTCCAGTTCTCCCTTGTGGTGTTGATCCTACCTCTTTTGGGCTCTTAGCTCTTTCCCGCAGGGCCCCTATAAGTGGGATCAGTCCTTAGACTGATCCCACTTATATTACTACAACTACTACTACTACTACTCCATAACTACTATTGCTACTAACATTACTATTGCCTCCCCTCAACTTTCACTCCCCTTTTCTATCTCTTGTCTCACTAAAACTACTCCTCCTACTTTCTATAACCACTGCTACTGCCACTACTTATTCTTCCTCTCGTGATCCCGTTCCTAACCCCCTTGCCTATACACAAGGTGTTTCAAAATATTAGACCCAATTTCAAAGGAGTAGAGATTTCAAATCGGGTCCATCTTTTGAAACACCTTGTATACTGGCTCCCTCACCTTCGTGTGTTACTCTAACTTGTTAATGGACCGTAACGTGTATTGTTCCAGTGCCGGTATTGTGCCTTTTTCTTCTCCATTGTAACGAAGTTCTTACAAACGTGTAAGTTGCCTGAACAAGTATGGAACAAGTCTTGGGGCATACAAAGTGATTTAGGTTTGATTCGAGGAAGAGGAGACGTTGTTTAAAGTTCTCTCATAAGAATCAACACCAGGTCAGTGGTATCAAGGTATCACTGTGTCTTGATTTTTTCCTTCTTGAGTTGTCTCGTGAAAATATTTTTAGAGATTAACCCAGTTGTTCCTAGTTTATACTAGAGTACTAGTAATACTAGTACTACTAGTAATACTAGTACTATTGGTACTACTAGTACTATTAGTACTACTAGTACTAGTAGTACTATTACTGCCACCACTACTACCACCATATCTACGACCACGTAACATATTATATATATATATATATATATATATTTATATATATATATATATATATATATATATATATTTATATTATTATATATATATCCAGTGGAGAGTGACGTAATAAGTCTAACAACCTCGTCACCACTTAAGCTGTGAAGTGAGTCAGTCATCTCTATTGTGTATATACACTGTCAGGTCAGTATCTCCATGTACATACATTTAGAGGTGTGTATGTATATACATCCTAGAATCTCCTTTAGGGTATCTATATAAGCTGCTTTCTCGATGACTATACATAAAGATAGGAAGAGAGTTTAACCTGCCTAGCATGGTCCAGTAGGTCTGCTATAATGCTGATGTAACAATGTCTGCAACTGCAGTAATTACTTAGCTAGTACCAGAGTTTCCTTGTAAACTGAAGGTTCAGGAAAGCTAAAACACACACTCACACACACACACACACACACACACACACACACACACACACACACACACACACACACACACACAATGTCTGCAACTGCAGTAATTACTTAGTACCAGAGTTTCCTTGTAAACTGAAGGTTCAGGAAAGCTAACAACACACAACACACACACACACACACACACACACACAC